AAATGAAAAGGGCAAAATCGTCCAAGGGGGGCGGTGACTAGTAATGGGGGGGCGGTAAATAGTAATGCCCTTTTTTTTTATTATTATTATTTTTAACAAAAACACAACTCACACAATAAACTTCATATGACTTTGAAAGGACAATCCAGTTGTAAGAAACATGAAAAAAAACAGGTGAGGTCTCTTGTAAGAAACATGAAAAAAAACAGGTGAGGTCTCGTACAGATGAAGCGCACTAAGATAAAATTTAAGTGGGGTTCCATCTCAAAAACCAATTGGTAGAAGGAGTAGCCAACTAGAAACGTCATCATACGGTCCCAATATAACCGACTCTGATACCACATAAGAAACGGAGAAAGCCTAGATGAAGCCCAAGTGTGATTTAATCCCAAAACCGTTACTCTAATTGGGACAAAAGAAAACGAATATGACTAAAAATTGCAACAATTCTTCCAAATGATCATATATTATCACAAAAAGACAACAACAACTCCACCTCAGCATCATGACTTAGAAAACGCAACCTATGGCTCTCCAAATCATAAGCACAACAAAACTTATACAATTGTATTCGCGTAGAGTCCACTAGGCTGCAAAACTGAAAAAAGAGCCGAGAAACAAAAACTTGTTTCACTTTTAGTTGGAGTAATTTCATTATGGACAAAAATAATCACTACCATAGTACGATCATATATAGTAATTAATAGAGGTATAAACGAGTGGAAATGAGCTCGAGTTCTTGGTACATGATCATTTATCGAGCCACTCAGCTCATTGACAAAACGACTTCAGCATGTTAAAAGGCAGAACTCAATGTTGAGATTCATCGAAACTCGTGAAGGATGCGTGATATCAATCGCAAATACAAGGCACACCTAGCAAGGTGTGCCAAAACTTTTTTAAAATAAACATGTTACTTTACAAAATGAACATGTGTTTACACATGTTCATTTTGTAAAGTAACATGTTCATTTTAAACTGCCTTGGCACGCCTTGCTAGGTGTGCCAAGGCACACGATAGTTAGCACTGGATATCAATAAGCCGCATATTGTTCAATGATTGATGTTCTTGGATTCAAGTGCACAGCTATAGCAGTTACAAAATAGCCCTATGATCTATTTTGAAATAAGACACGGGGACAAAACATGAAGATAATCTCCCTCTATATTCTTATAATATCCCTCTATCTCTACTATACATATAAGCAAACAATGGGGGACAATTCTCGGACTGACACGTGTCCTTTTTTGACGAAATTGTCCTTCATCTTATCCATTTATTACAATTTTGCCATTGAATTTATTTATTTATTAAATTGGTCACATTGGTCGTCACTTCCCGCATTTCACGCATAAGTTACCAGTGACTGAATGGAGAAGAAGAACTTTTTTCCTTCTTTCTGCTGCAAAAACGTTTGGTCTCCCACCCACTCCATTTGACTCTCTTTTCAGATGAAAAAAAAAATCTTCGTTGTTTTCCACCATCTCACTTCCTCACAAACACAAATTCTTATCCCTAATCTCAAACTAGCAATCACTACACAGCAACTGAAAAACTCCAATGAACTACCCCTCAAGGTCGATCTATATGGCGGTCCGCGGCCGGATGTACGACGGGATCATCCGCGCGCTCGCGAAGTTGGGAAAGGACGGAAGTGACGCCGTACCCTAACTCGACGGCCTCATGGAGAAGGAAGCTGATGCGGCTGACGCGAAACCGACAACGACCTACCAGCTTTAAGCTCAAATTGGACGGCTTCTTCTTCAAAGGTCTTTTGTTGATTTTTGTAGGTTTTATCTTCTGTGAATTTTTACTCGTTTGCATCTGCCTATGGGTCTATATGTATTGATATTTTGGTTTTCAATGATTTGCGGATGAGAAAAGATTGCTTTTTTTTATTTGGCCCCCAAATCAATGTCAAAACCCCTAATCGGGAATGGTTCTTGGTGGTGCTCCATGAGATGAACTTAATGAGCTGACCCCAAGATCACAATTTTAAAATGGTAGCACAGATACGTAAATTCTGAATGACAACCAACACCTTGGCATGATCGACAACTCCTGCATCCACCCAGAGAGTGAAAAATGTATGGCCAAAGTGAATAGTATATCCGACAAATACTGGGACCTTTACACGTATAGTTTATTCTCCAAATACTTACTTTTTTGTTTCTTTTACGTCAATTTATAAGGCTATGTTACTGATTTTAGATAAATGCATTTTGCTAGAGCATGCTTCAGGATCTCCGATTTCGGCGCCATCACGATGTTCCGGGGGCGTAATTGGTTTCACCTCCATCTCCGATATTTGTTTGTTTTCATTATCCATGAATTTAGGAAAAACACAATCGAGTTTGACCTGTGAAAATCTCATAGTATCATGTCTATCGAATTTTACGTATTTATTTATTTTTAATTTTGAGTTGTTATCATGGTTTGTTGATTGTTGAATTAAATTGTGCAGTACAAGGGTCTGCTCGTGTCGCACAATCGATTGCTAATATGAGGAACATTCAGAATGATCTGAAACAAATCTCAATGGCCATGATGTAAGCTCGAAATTTTATTGCACATATGCTTTTGGAAATGAATTAGTATCTGTTACCTTGCATCTTGTATTTTAGCAATCGATAAATTGTTAATCGTCTTATGAA